TGTGCCATAGTTCACTTCACACTTTTTCTTCCTCTCCACTTTTTCACTTGAGGGTGGAAATATGCATGAATCATCCTTATGGATATGCAAAATCAGTGCACTCTTTATGGGATATAAGTAAGAAAATGCATAGATATATTTCTCTGTAGAAGTCTCAGCAATCCAGTAATATGAATCGTGTTTTGCTTTCTCTCAAGTCGTGAAACCTGCAAATATTTTTCTAGATGTTGAAAAGTGCATCCCCAAGAAATCAAAGACCCATTCTTTTTTTAAAAAAAGTAATTAAAATAATTGAGATTGCTCTTTTCTTTTCTTTCCTTTCTTTTAGGACCTATGTTTACCCTAAAAGTGCAAGTTAATGATATAATCAGTCATCAATATCTACACCAAGCTGTTGTAGACGTCTTTGTCAACTATACTAAAACAAATTCTACTCTAACTGGAAAAAATGGAGCAGTATTGATACAGGTTCCCTATCAGCTAGGTCTGAGTTTAACCATTGTTTCTTATAAAGATGGTTATATGTTAACATCTTTACCTTGGAAAACTGGGAGAATGCCAAGTAAGTAAATAAGCTACAAGAAATATTTTCTTTAAACCAATTTTTAGGTAATTTAGGTGGCATGTACTTTTCATCTAGCCTTTACTTTCTCCGTTTTCCTCTTCCTTCTATTCATTTATCCTCTTTTTTTGTATTTGTTGTGATTCAGTTTTCATTTTTGCTGAGCAAAACAATTAATTTATTTATTTCATACTGGTCACTTATTTCTGTTTTTTTCTACATTCATCACCCTTTCAGTCTTCACCCAATTTCTTTTATTTATCATTTAACTAATCCATTCTCATTGCATTAAATTTACCTTTGTTCCTCCTAACATACCAAATCCTCACTTCCATATAATAAAATGAGTAGAAGCATGCTCTTATGCACAGACATTTGTTGTTTTAATAAAACACTCATTTCTCACAACAGACCACATGTGATATACTATCTGTGCCTTTGCACAGTTACATTTTGTCAATTTGTTTTTTCCTCTTTACTGAATGTTCTACCATGGTACAAAATTTCATGTATTTGCTCTGTTTTTTTGCCATTTATGTATAATTTGCATTCATTGGCTTTCCCAGTTTTTTGGATTTCTATTTCTTGTTGTATCATCCGGTCTAATCTTTGTTGAGGATAACTTGTGTTTTCAACTAACAGCATGGGACATTCTGCATACATAAATGGACATATATTCATTCTTCCTCCCATGGAAGAATACTAAAAGTATTCCTTATATATTTACTCATATAAAATATAAAATAGATCATGCTCAGTTTAAACTGAAAAGCTGCATTTCACAGTCTTGAGATAGATATAAAATTAGTACCAAATAATCCAGTCAAATGGTTTTTAATAATAATAATAATAATAATAACAACAACAACAACTTTATTGTCACTTTGAATGTACACCAATCGACATACATCAAAATGAAATTTTGTTACATACAGCTCTCAAAGGGTCAACCACCTGCGATATACACTCCTTGTTCGTGGCCAGCTCAAGTTTCAGAACGTCCATTTTAGTCTCTAGGGAGCGAACGATGGCAAACAGGACAGATGGAAACGTTTTACACTTAATATACTGTACACATATTAGATTACTTTTTTTAAAAATAGCACATTTAGAGATGAAATGTAAACTTACAATCCATGTTAAGTTTGTCTGTTGGGAATGTATGTATTGAAAACTCCAATTTTTTATTAAGATACATATGAATAAAAAATCTGAATATATTCTTCACCCAAAAGGTAAAGAGCCTGTCTAGCAAAATTGCAAAGAATCATGCTCAATATGACATAAAGCTTCTATTTCCTTCTCCCCAAGGCAAGAAAAAAAGGAACGCAAATCCTATCCTGATCTCTGTAAAAATCAGATTCCTACTAGTACATCTATACTCCTAAATCTTAGCTGAAGTTACCTCCATACTTTTTCCATTGTTAGTTAATGTCATACATAAAATTTTCTATACAATCAAATGTATTAAACCTGTACAAAAATCTATAAATTTCCATTATTTTTTAAAATAAAGTATGGTAAGTGTATGAGTTGATTTATAGAAAAATATTAAAAAGTGTTGAGAAACTTAGGACTTTTCTCATCCAATGATCATGCAATGAAAGTTTTATTATGAGAAAAACTTAATTTAGCAGAGCCCTGAGAAAAGTAACTTGTGTGACTCTTCTTTACCAAGCAAGAGGCATCCTTTGTCCAAAATGAAAGGTGATGATCCCCTTGTATCCGAAGTCTGCTAAATGGAATTGAACCTTTGCTTTACTTAATCAAAATCAGTATAATCATGTTTTTCAGAGGATATAGCTTTTTCTATCTATTTACTACTCTTCATGGCAACAGTGTTATAATACATACTTATGTAATAATATATTATTATTTTATCTCCCACAGTATATTCATCTGTTACACTTTCATTGTTCCCCCAAAGCCAGGCAAATATATGGCTATTTGATGATACAGTTTTAATCACTGGGAAATTATCTGGTAAGTAGCAACAGAACATACCCATGTTTGCAAACCATTTCCTCTTAAGATATAGCCACGTGCTGAAGTCGGTACGGTTTCCAGCTTGTGTTTTTAAGCAGGGGCTGCCAGCAATAGATACAAAGAGTTAGAGGCATTTTAATTATTTTATATTTTAATAAAACAACAATTGCAGACTTCTATTAAATGCTTAATTTGCTAATTCGTGTTAATGGATTTGTTGGCTGGACAGAAGATGCGGGTCTTTTCTGGCCTTATGTTGATCCTCTTGGAAGCTCAGTAATGGAGGTTAAGTTGAGAGGCAGTGACTGTTTCAAACACAAAAGAGAGAGATGACTAGAGCCTGAGAGTCCTAAGCCCTAGTCACACCCTTCTTTACCACAACATCATACGTAGTCATTTTAATGCCATTCTAGAATGGGTTCTTTTCAGCACTAAAATAGGGGTTGTATTGTTTCAGTTCAGTGGTAATCCACAATGAATGGCTTATAGAACTGTTGGCGTTCATGCCCCTGTTTTGCTCCATCTATTTGTGTTGAAGATGGAAATTGTCTTCTTGAAGGATCTCTCTCTGCTACATGTGGCAAGCAAGGAAAAAGCTGTCTGAAAGCCGCCTTCACACATTTTTATCAACACCTCTCCTTTTCCATTCCTCTATCTAATGAGGGAATGTTAATGGGTCACTGCATATAAATTAAATTAATCCAGCTTCTCCAGGTTTGCTGTCTAAAACGCAAGATGCAAAATAAGAGATATTTTGAGAAACATCTCTTGAGAAAAAAGGAACAAAGGGCTATTGTTGTTGCTGTTTTTATAACAACTGATGTTCTTTCACCTGTGTCTTGTTTGAGAAGTAAAGGTGATTTAATTAGTGCTACCTTTTCTGGGTTTTTTATTTTTTTTAAAATAATGGTGTTTTTTTTTAGTATTTACACCATATCCTAAGAGAAAAGAAAATGGACGTTGGATATTGAGAAAAACAAGATCTTGCACTTGTGTCTTCTCTGTCTAACTCAAATAATATATCCTCTTGAGTACAGCACTTAAATGCATATTATTCGTTTATTGCTTTGGAAGTATAAACATTTCTATTTTGACTAATATTACGAATCTGTCTCCTTGATTAAATAGTAATAAATAGAATTAGTTTTTTTGTTAGAGTCAAGAAGTTTAAAATTAAATAGTAATAAGGAGTTAGAAGAAAGTAATGAATTTAAAGCTAAGGGATTGAATCAAATGCAAGATTGCAAGGACAATTTTGTTCATGTTATAGTTTACACAGATAGTCCTCACATATCAACCCTTTGTTCAGTGACCTTTGGAAAGTTAATGGTAGCACTAAATAAGAACACCTATGACCAATCCTTTTAAATTGTGGTTATTTGCAGCATTCCCATGGTCGCATGATCACAGTTCAGGTTCTTGGCATTGTGCCAGCATAACACTGATTTCAACATTTGAGCAAAAAACTCAGATCTTGTGGATGTGTTTATTCATTAAAATTTATTTGCCACTTATCTCATAATGAAATGACTCTGGGCGGCTGGCAGCCTAAAACATTAAAATCATAACATACAAAGATCTCTAAATCTTTTTAATTAAAAGATGAGGGAGGGAAGGAACAAAAGGTGCAGAGGGGGGAAGGCAGGATTGCCTCTTAATTCATCAACCGCCTCCAGTGTGATGCTCCCCATTAGGGCCCCAAGCCATCTCGCAGAGCCAGGTCTTCGGGCTCCTGTGGAAGGTCAGGAGGATGGGAGCCGATCTTATCTCAGGGGTCAAGATGTTCCAAAGTCATGGCAAAGAAGGTTTTTCTCTTAGGCGCTGCCTGCCAAAATTTCTTAGCTGACGGGGCCTCCAGCATGCCTCCTGTGCTGGCGTAGGTCTGGCGGGCCAGTCCCAGTGGGGTGTGGTAGTTCCTCAGGGAACCTGGGCCCATGCCCTGCAGGGCTTCAAAGGTAATAACCAACACCTTGAATTGCTCCCAGAAGTAGACCGGTAGCCAGTGCACCTTGCAGAGCATTGGTGTGACATGGGTCATCCTAGGGACCTCAAGAACTGCCCACTCCACTGCACTCTGCGCCAGTTGAAGCTTCTGAATGCTCTTCAAGGGCAGCCTCATGTAGAGCACGTTGCAGTGGTCCAAACATGAGATGACTCCTGATCCCAGAAAAGCTTCAAATAGCACACCGACCGAAGTTGTGCAAAAGCTGTCCTAACTGTAACTGCCACCCGCTCTTTGATTAGGAGTCATGAATCCAGGGAAAAACCTCAAGTTGCAAACTGTGTCTTTCTGAGGTAGTGCAACCCCATCCAGAACTAGATAGGTGTAAAGTCCCAGATCTTGGAGCTCTATGCACCTCAAGGCCATTTGGTCTTGTCAGGGTGCCATCCTGTTGCTCCCCATATAGGATGTGTTTAGATGTGGCACTTCAGAGCGAAAAGGTCTGACATGCGGTACTGTTACGCATTAGTATTTAATGTGCTACAGGAGATTTTTTGTTACTTACAGAAAAATTGCTGGTCGCAAAGATAAAAATGAAGGAAAACAAATGTGTCAAATGAAAGCAGTAGACAATTCTTACTTTGTATTGTTTGTCTTTTATTTGCAGTTGAAAAAGGACTGGGGCAAATATTCTCTCTTGATTTTCCTGTCAAAATCTATTTCAGATTAGAATTAAAGTATAAATGATGATGGAGCATTCTGAACTGGGATTAAAGATGACAAAAACAGAACAAGAATGTTTTTGTTAGGAAGAACTTTTTTGGGGGGTTTGGTTATATTTTTAGAAAGCTCTATAAACTCTGTTTGTATCACCTTAGTAATTGGGTGCTGTATACATCATTGCTTTGTCTTTTACGATATCATCTTTTCTAATGTTAGCTTTCATGTAGCGTATTTCCAGAATATTTTCAAGTATATGTAATTGCTTGGAAAGAGTTAAAAAAATAACAAGTATTTCTTATTTGGTTATAAGATTATTTAAACAAAGCATTGCTAAATTCCTGGTTTAAAATTCTACCTATTTTTCAGATGCGAAATCTCAGCCAAGTGTTCAGTTTCCAAAATACCTAATTAAACTTCCTGTGAACCACCATATCACTAATGTAACAGCGTATCTTACAGTGCCGCAACAGTTTTTAAAAGTGGAACATTTTTTCTATACAACAGGGATTCTTTTAAATAAATCAGGTAGGTCAGACTGATCATTAATTCTTGAGGTTTTATCCTTCTTACCTCATCTTTAAAAGCTCTATGCCAGTACTTATCCCCTTATTGTGGGCCTTGAATGTAACCTTCTAGATGAGTAATGGTTGACTGAGATATTTAGCAGACATAAGGAGCCATTATCCTTGAGTCTATGAGCTGATAAAATTATGTAGTGATGGTATGCTTTATGTTACAGATGTACTGCAGTTCCAAAGCCAAAATGCCCAGCATATCCCTACTTGAAATGTTATGTTTATTTTTCATTCTAATGAAACAGATATACATCAGCAATAGGGAAAAATGATAAAGACGATAAGTGAAAAAAAAATAAACCAAAAAGAGAAGAAATGACGTTTATATTAATTTGACAGTAGATCATAGATGCATATATTATTTGAAGGAGAAATACATTTTAGGCATCTGTACTCAATATTTCTGCTGCAGAAAAAGCTAATCTATACTTTATTAATGTAGCAACATAAAGGAGGAAAATGTGAATAAAAAAACAATGTTTAATTAAAATATTCCTCAAAGTTTCTGTGGTTTGGTTGTTTTTTAAATAAATCATGTATTTGGGGGAAAAAAGATTTACCTTAGTTTTTCAGTGTTTTTGAGATAGTAACTTTAGCCAGCAGGAAAGTTTATTGCATAATTGACATGTTAATAATACTCCCCCTTTTCCCTACCATTTAAGAGAAAGTGTAGGTAGTCCTCAATTTACTACCGTCCATTTAATGATGGTTCGAAGTTACAATAAATTTTGCACATTTGAAATAACATATAGTATTGTTAAATTGCTGGTTAGTTTCTAGTTGCAATTGCAGCATTGCAACTTAAACAACAAACTTAACTTCTAAACAACCAGAACTGATACTGACTGAGGATCATGGTAGACATGTGTGGGTGGAAGCTGCTTTACCTATGGCCAATATTTTGAGAATGAGAATTTATGCTCCAAATGAAGACAAAGTTACTTTTTACAAAGAAATTATGACTAAATCAATGGACTTACCATATGAAAGTGGATATTTAATGGGAGAGTGGAATGGAGTAATTTGTCCCCGAAAGGACAGAGCCTCTGAAAAAGATATTAAAACAACCCAAGGGAAACTATCAAAAGTTCTTTTTGATGAGGTGGACAATTTAGATGCACGGAGATACAAAAACGGTGATGCAAAAAATATACTTACTTTTTTGAAAAGCACCATTTTTTTTAAAGAATTGATATGTTTTGGGTATCTAGGAATTTGGCTATGAAATGTGTGCAAATGAAAAATCAAATTGAGAGAGCCCCTACAATCCAACAATTGTAACATTAGTAGCTCTAAGAAATAGCTTGGAATTTGGAGGTAAGGTATACACATACTCTCAAAAGTTCAGTACCTTCTTCTTTGTTAAATACCTGGAAGTCATTATGAATTCATTAATGAGTATAGTAATAATGAAGTCTAGTATCAGCCATTACCTGGTAGGTCTTGGGTGGTTGAGATACATCTGTCTAGTTTTTTTCATCTGTTCCAAGCTCCAGTACAGGGAGATGAACACGGATGGAATCAGTAATACATAACTTCCCCTTTTGCATTTAAAGGACTAGCTAACAGGGTACAGTTAGGGCATTCTGTTTTTCATCTTTAGATTATATTGAAATTTCTGGTGTTTCTTTCAAATAATTTATATGTGCATTAAAATAAAAACAATTTCAATCCTAAGGGCATGCAGTAGTTTATGAATGTTTTGGTGCTGGAGGGGCATTGCCGTGTGGCTGTTATTGTCTTTCAGCTTCATGTGGCCTGATTAATTAATTACCTGCAATGCTCCCAAATAAGTGCATACAGCACAGGTGTCAAACTTGCCACGTCACGTGACGTGTTGCGAGGTATTGCAACCCTTTTTGCATTGCCGGCAATGGGGTGGGTGCGGCTTCAGTATAATGAAACCAGCAGTTTGACACCCCTAGCATACAGGGTATAGCTTTAAAATAGATTAAAGGAAGATGGCTAGTTTCTACCTCTGTTTTTGGTACCAAAGATTCATTTACTCCATTTCTGGAGTAAATGATTGAAGGCAGTTCCTTGCATTGTTTGTTATTTTCCAGATTACTTTCTATGCATACAGCTTTGCAAATTCTTTAGGGAAAAAAAAAGAGAATAGACAGCTTCCTCTTTATTTTTATATAGGTTTTTAATGTATTAACTTTTTAGTACTTTTTTCTGTTTCCTATAAAACTTGTTGAAATAACATTTTTTGATCAATAAGAAAAATAATGTCAATTAAATCAGACTTCTGATTAAATGTGTATAAGACTGTGCTGCACATAGCCCTTCATAGGGCTGGTATCAGTACATTTATTTCTGTAACTTGTTCATGTAGTATAGCCTTGTACAAAAATGGAAATAAGATTACCTCATGAAGTATCTAATACTTCTCATTGATAGCAATTGTCTGAATATGTGGAAAGCTGTTGTATCCCAGCTTAGGCAATACTGAGGTAGATGTAAGACGGATTCGTTATTCTTTGATAGTATCAAATGACCTCCCATGCAAAAGTCACTGTTCATAATAACCTTGCACGATTGGCTTAGGTCATTTGGCTTGAAAGGAGTATCAGATCAATAAATTCAATCAAGGTGAGCCAATTTACAGTACTGCTTGCTTGGCTTGAATGCCTCCAGAGATAAAACTCTCTACAAATCAGAACTGGTGCTTGGTCCCTTTTGCTGTATCAATCCATTGGCAAGTATTCACATGCCAATGTTCCTTGAAAAATAGAAATTACACTTGCCAAAGCCTTCCTGGGTGGTGAATGGGATCTGTCACTTCTTAATCTCTCTCTTGGATTGGGTGTCATTCTAAAACATGCTTTGATATTTAATTACGAGCAGTTGGAAATGTAACTGCTTTTCTGTTTTTATCTCCATCTGGTGGTTAAGTTCGATATTGCCCACATTTCTAAACTCAAATGAAATGAAGCTCATGAGAGCATATGTTTATTTTTATTTTAGTGGGCTAATTTTACCTCCAATCTAATTTGACAATCAGATAATTAGAAAAATACAGGTGAAAGGAAAAGGGGGGTTGCTCAGCAGAAAATAAGCTATAGAGGAGGATGACCATCTGCTTTTTTTCAAAAAAGATACTAAAATCTTGACAGTACTCATTCTGTTTTTAAATTCACACATGATTACTTTAATCAACAACTACGGTAAATGTCACCTTTTTTTTTACAGTCATAACAATCCATGTATGTATCTGTTGATTGGAATGTAACAAAACATTAAATAAAACAAAGCTAGCATTTCCAGTATGCAGTATGCAGAAGCACTTTTGCCTCTATTCCAGGAGTGGGATATTCCCGGGTTCAGATTAAATAGCTATAATAGTAGTTTGACAGGAGCCCATAGGAGATGGGGAAAAAAACAACCTCTATGACTTGGAAATAGCACTCATTTTATGAAGCTGCCTCAAAACTATTATATGTTCCCATTATCAGGAAAAGTAAGTTAACACCACCTTTTCTGTATGTTTAGGTTTCAAAAGTATTGAATTGACCCCCCTTGCTGCAATATGCGTAAAGGTATTTTCAGGTGGGAAAGAACTGCAAGTGGATGGCTCCATTCAGCTCACCTTACCTCTTCTGCCTACAAGTGAGGTAAAAGCAGGGGAACCTATCTCAGCCTGGACTTTTGATATGAAAACTGGTGAGTGCTTTCTTATAGCCAAATAGTATTGCTTATGATTGGAAGAAAGCTTAGTTTTTGTCAGCTTCCTTTATTTGTAAAAATAAAAATAAAAAAATCCCAATTGAGATTATTCTAAATATGCTTTCTTAGATGCAAATCCAGCTGATCCAGGATGCTTATTTCCAGTTTTTGAGTACAGGTTCCAGTCTACAGATAGTCCTCAGTTTATGTCTCTTCATTCAGTGACTATTCAAAGCAGTGGCAGAGTTGAAAAAAATAAACATACGACCTTTTTTTCAAGTTGTACCCGTTGCGGCATCCCCACAGCCTTGTGATTGCAATCTGGCCACTCTGGTATCCAACTTAACAATTATGATGTTGTAGTGAGGGATGTCATGTGATCACCATTTGTGATCTTCCTGGTCAGTTTCTCACAAACAAAGAGGAAGCCAGCAGGGAAAGTTACAGGTTCCCCAGTAACAAGCTCTCACCACTTTTTTTTTTTTGGGGGGGGGGGAGAAGTCCATTGTGGAGTACCAGATCCCAGGGATCATAGTCTGTAGCACCTCCTGCCCAACTGCAGCACAATCCCGCCTGCCTGAAGCCTCTCCCTGCCCTCCCACACCGACCTACCTGAGGCCCCCTGAGACCTGTCCAAGCTCCCTAGCATCCATCTATAGCACTTTCCACTTACCCGCAGCATCCATACCCCCCTCCACACTCTGTCTCCGCCTGCTCCTTGGAGGACCGGCCTAGTGGTTGCAGCGCTCGGACCCACCTGTGTTGCGTGGGCTGTGGACTCCCAGCTGCCTTTTGGGGATGGCTCCATGCCCTTCCTGTACACCAGGGCCATCGCAGATGGGGCGGCAGGTGGGAGGTTCCTGTATGTGCAGTGGAGTTGGAGGATGAGTTTGGAGGGCAGGAGCCAAGTGCAGGGGCCGCGGTGTGGCATTACCCCTACCCTGCCACTTGCCTCGCCTCACCAGCACGCGCACAGGTGGCAAGCACGTGGGGGCCAACAATGTCAGGCAGCAGAGGGCCTTGTGTTTGACATGTCTGAGCTAAGGTCTACATTTTAATAATAAATGCTTAGCTGCTTTGAGGCATAACTTGGAATATAGGTTTATATGATCCTAATTTATGATCCTAATTGAGCCTGAAATTATGATTGTAAATCATTGTGGCCATAAGTGGAGACACCCATGTGATCAGAAGCAATTTTCCAGCCTTTTTTGCGGTGGTTTGTTAAGCAAATACTATAGCCGTAAAGCAAACCCATTCATTTGAAACCGGCAAAAAAGAGTCACGTGACCATGCGACCTGTCATAAAACTGGCCTGCCTGAGACATGATCATGTGATGCCCAGGGGTACTATATAGGGCTATCCTAACTTTGTATAGTGGTAGACCCACTTGTTTTTAAATGAGGCCTACCTTGTTCTAGGTATTAAAGATAGAGCAGTACATCTTTAACTACTTTTAGAAAAACAATGCTGGACTAGATGGATCTGCCTCTAATACATTTATTATGAGTATGTAATTATGAGTATAAAAGAGTTGCCTAAAGTTTGATTTATCCATTTTTAGTTGAAAGTCTGAAAGAATACATCTCTCTCTTTTTTTTTTTTTTTGTCTTACCAGGTGCTTGGATTAACCGTGGCCTGGGAATGGTAAAGAACATGGATGATCACTTAGTATGGACATATACTGCTGCAAGTCTGGGATATTGGATAGCAGCCCCATTGCCTGGAACTAGAGGTAAACTGGGAAAATGGAAAATATTTTATGTCTGTCTTAATTTTTATTACTTTCACAAAGTCAGCACACAAGACATAGAACTCTTCCCAAATTTAATTGGGATGATGAGATTTATCTCTTGTTTATGTTGAAGGTGGAGTTTCTTTAGGCTTATGAAATAAGACTTTGGGTCATAATAAATTGGGGTCTTGTAATATCTTAAATGATATCGAAGTAAGTGCAATTAGGTATTACAAGATATGCACAGATTTATATTAGTAAACATCTAGCACACATGATAATTCAGTTCCTAACAAGAGCCTAGGAAAGAGTTCCTAGAGCAGGGGTCTTCAAACTTGGCCCTTTTATGACTTGTGGACTTCCAACTCCCAGAATTCCTCAGCCAGGGTGCCTGGCTGAGGAATTCTGGGAGTTGAAGTCCACAAGTCATAAAAGGGCCAAGTTTGAAGACCCCTGTCCTAGTGCAATTAGAGTACATGTTGTAAAATCTAATAAGCACGAGGGGACATTAGCTTCACTCCCACATGCAGTCTACTCAGGTTGGATATTAAATTTTTGCTTGAACATGAATTTAAACCTTCGGCAGGGAGGACAAGTGCATGTGCTTACAGTATGCCTTACTTGTGTAGTATGATCCAGATCTATGTATCTTGTTGGATTAATGCTCTCTCTATATAGGTAGTCCTTTGGTAACAACCACTCATTCAGCAAGGTTTAAAGTTATGACAGTGCTGATTCAGAGGGATTTACAGCCATTCCTTGGCGTTCCAGCCGTTGTAGCATCCCCACAGTCACATGATTGTAGTCTGGGTGCCCGCTGTCTGGCTTGCAATTATGACATTGCAGTGAGCCCACAGTCACATAATCATGATTTCTGACATTCCCTGCTGGTTTCCCCACAAGCAAAGTCAATGGGAAAGCCATCAGGTGTCAAATCATTCCTGCTCCCACTGCTCCTGCTTCCACCAGCTTGCTTTCTATAATACCTGCCTGTGGCACCTCTCACCCAATGTGGCACCCGTACCCCCATGTGTGCTCTGTAACACCCAACTGTGGCACCTGCCCATGTGCAGGCCTAGGTGTTCACCTGTACTCCATAGTGCCTCCCAGCAGTGCCCCCCATTGAACCTACACACCTGCCTCCCTTCCCTAGTATTTGCCTGTTCATAGCTCTCACCTGCAGCTCTCACCCACTGGCTTCTTTGCCTCGAACTCCCACCTCTTCCTGCTTAACAATCTGTGGGGTCTTAAAGGCACAACAGCAGCCAAATTCTTATCCCAATTGCTGCTGTAACCCGCGAACTACTTGTAGGTATATTGCTTGAATGATTTTGACTGAGGTGGAACCCACATCAGTATAGACTTGCAGTGTTTCTCAACCTTGGCAACTTTACGATGTGTGGACTTCAACTCCCAGAATTTTGGGAGTTGAAGTCCACACATCGTAAAGTTGCCAAGATTGAGAAACACTGGTAGAGACAATGAATGAAACTGATCTCAGGGCCTTCTGGGTACTATTGCGTACCATGGTGGCACAGTGGTTAGAATGCAGCATTGCAGGCTACTTCTGCTGAGTGCTGGCTGCCTGCAGTTTGGCAGTTCGATTCTCACCAGCTCAAGGTAGACTCAGCCTTCCATCCTTCCGAGGTTGGTAAAAGGAGGACCCAGATTGTTGGGGGCAAGATGCTGGCTCTATAAATCACTTAGAGGGGGCTATAAAGTACTGTGAAGCAGTATAAAAGTCTAAGTGCTTTGCTATTAAACTGCTTCTATAATAAATAAATTGTGGACCTCATGCTCCCTGATGTGAACCTCTCTCTATTCCGTCTTTGCTGGAGGCTTGCATCCATGTCTCCTTGTATGCTGAACGATCCAGCGTCAGAAGAACAGTCAGGAAAGATAGGAATGCTTTCTGTGCTAGTACAAAACCAGTAACTTTTATTATCCTCTCTTCGTCTCTCCCTGCATCTCCTTTCTCTGATTAAAAACACAGATTCCATTATTACAACGGTTACTAAAGATATCTCTGCCTACCACACAGTATTCCTCACAGCGATATTAGGAGGCACCGTCACCATCATTGCTGGGTTCTTTGCACTTCTGCTTTGCTATTGTGGGTAAGATGGAAAATGATGGTAATGCATTTTTTTTGCCATAACCAATGACAGTATGCACTGTTTGAAAGCATAGGATTAGTGCTCAGGTTGATTCGTTTTTGAAAGATAATTGATTTTCAATTTAATGCCCACTTTCTATGCCTAAAGGAAATGCTAATTTGTCCTAAGCGTTCCGTAACACTCTTCTTTGATACCGGTTTTGAAGCTAAGGAATCTTGCTGAATGTATAATTAAATAGAGATAGATAGATAGATAGATAGATAGATAGATAGATAGATAGATAGATAGATAGATAGATAGATAGATAGATAGATAGATAGATAGATAGATAGATTGATTGATTGATTGATTGATTGATTGAAAGATGCTACAGTATATCCGTGCTCATTATCTTCCCTTTTGTCTCGCTTGCTCTATTCCTCTATCTTTTTCCTCTGCCTAGAAATGGAGATAGCTAGCTAGATAACTAGATAACTAGATAGATAGATAGATAGATAGATAGATAGATAGATAGATAGATAGATAGATAGATAGATTGATTGATTGATTGATTGATTGATTGATTTAGTGGTGGTGCTAGTCTGCTTCAAAGATAGGTAGGTACATATGATTTGGTAAAATCCAAAACTAAGTGCATGTTTTCTTCCTTTACAATATAGATAAGTTTATAAATTACATAAATAAACAAACCTAGTGGTGTTAGACTATTACTAATTGCATAGATATACATTAAAGCGTAGTTTTAATATTTCTTTTTTTATTTTGCTTCTTTTTTTAGGGATAAATGTGGTCGTCCAAAAAAGAGAAAGAAAAGTCCAACTAAACCAGACATTTTAAAAAAAGACCAAACAACTTCAACGACTCACATGAATCATATCGGTGGAGCCAAAGGATCTTTGAAGCCAGAGGACAAATCTAGATTGTATTCACCCAAAGTAGCATCTTACAGCCCCCAGAGACGGGTTTCAGCTGAAGGTGAGGAGAGGAAAGCCCAAGACAATTTTAAAGTTTACACAGAAGGTACTCCGTACCAATTCTCTGGTAAAAATCTCCAGTGTAGGAGCTCACCCCAGTCCTTGGAAGTTAAAACAGATTTGAGACACCTTCCGCCAGTGAAACACCTCAGTGGAAGTCTTCCCCCTTCCCAAAATGCACAAGAGCAGAATCAGTATCTCCCAATGACCGAGGAGATTTATGGGCTCTCTTCACTCCCAGAACAATTAATGCATCTCTATAGCCAGCCTGCTGCTATGCTTCAAACATCTGAGCTATTTCACTCCCAAGAGCAATTGCATGCTGCAAAGTCAGCTACTTTACCAAGAAAAGGACAGTTAGTCTACACCCCTGTGATGGAGAGTATGAGTCACGAAAATTATACCCAGACATTGCCCAAAATGCCAATGCACGTTCTCTTGCAGGAACCAACTTCCAGAGATGAAACAGTTGCTATAGATAGGCAACAAGGCTTGTCCCCTCAGACTGCCAACTGGGGCCGCTACACTAGTAGCTTGCTGGAGTCGGTTTCTGTCCCAGGAACGTTAAATGAAGCTGTGGTGATGACACCATTTTCATCAGAACTTCAGGGCATTTCGGAGCAAACCTTACTGGAGCTTTCCAAAGGAAAACAGTGTCCACATCCAAGAGCATGGTTTGTGTCATTAGATGGCAAACCAATAGCTCAAGTGAGGCATTCATTCATTGATCTGAAGAAGGGCAGGAAGACTGAGAGCAATGATACTAGCTTAGACTCAGGTGTGGACATGAATGAGCATAACCCAAGTCGAAAATTGGAGAGAGAGAAAACCTTTATTAAAAGCACGCAGCATTCTAAGATACTTTACCTAGAAGACTTGGATCTGAGTACCAGTGAATGTGGGACCAGGGTTTCAACCCCTGAGGATCAAGCTGTGAAGCATATGCCAGAAGGAGATAATGACCCCATCATAAAGCAAGAGCTCCTGGAAGAGATGCCAAGAAGAAAAAGCAAGGCAAAAAAGCATGAGGCCAGCCCTCCCCCTGGGAAGAAACAGGGAAGACCACGTCTAACTAAGACAGAAAGCAAAACAAATATCTGGAAAAAGAGAGAGGAGAGACCACTCATTCCAATAAATTAACATTACAGTGATGTCTATCTTCTGATTGTTTCATGTCCTGTAGATAGTACCTCCTCTGTCATTTTATTTGTAAATTTGCACTGGTCATCTTCAGTAGGGCAGTCAGATTTAGGTGACATTGCTTTTTTAAGACACGGAGCAGCTTACACCTTTATAAGGAGTATTGTTTTCTGAAAACCAGCTCATCTTGCTTTCAACAGTTGTTATAATTTCAGGACTTTAGTAAAACTATACCTGAAAAATTATTCTGTGGTGTATCTGCAAAGACATATATGCTTTCTCTAAAAGACACCAGTATGGTATCTCATTTAACTGCTTTGAAATTAGACAACTGGCAAGGAAGACGGTTTGTTGATCAAATTGTGTTGGTTTAGGGAAAAAAGCATACGTAGATAACAAGTGTTTGTTATTTTTGCAACTATAGTGTCTGATAATGGACATTGTCATAATATGGTTTGGTATTGGGTAGTATGGTATTTTTCATCTAAATGCTGATAGGAGATCTTTTTATTTCGTATCTAACATAACATCCTGCCTCACCGTAATTCCTATATAGCTTTTTCTGGTGGGGGAGGGAAAATTAAGGACTTGTTATCCAGAAGGTATTTCCAGTGTGAAGACTTCTGCCATTCCAATTTGTATTGAGCCAAATTGTGCTCCATTTTTAGGATAGCTGGATTTATATTATTGTAACAAAGGCAGAGTTTGGCCCTTTATGCCCACAATGTGTGCCATTGTAAACATGGCCAAAAAGATGCCTTTTTAGATATTTCCACCAGAAACAGCATTCTGTACTAGCCTTAAAAAGACAAAAGAAATGCGGTATTAACTTGATAATGTGCCTCCCTTTTCAGCTAGCTTTGTCATAAGTCATGAAAGTCAATTGTTGCTTATGAACTGTTGAAATCTGTTGGAATTAAATTTAGCCATATGTATAATTTGTTAATGAAAAAATGGGGATGGTGGGACCTCTTTGTTATACCCAAATTTTCTAATCTGAGAGTAAATCTCTAAGGCAGACAAAATAAAGGGGAACGCCATAGTTTCATAGTATGCAAAATGGAAAATTTTGGAAAGTTCCCTGGAGAAGGATCCCAACATGTATAGATAAGCCTTTCTTAATGAAAGTTATATGGATTTTGGAATCTACATGGAGACCTCTGAAATAAACATATTATAGCCCTAAATATAGTTACTTGGAAATAGGTTCTGTTGATTTCAGTGGAACTTGTTTCACATAAAAGCATCCACAATTAAAAGCTAAAAATGCATACATCTCTACCTGAAATTACAAGACATTTACATTTGATGAGTTAGGAGATACTTTTAAGTAGAAGAATTGGTGTAAAAATGGGAGGTGAACATATTTGGGGATGGAAGAAGGACTTAACAAATAGGCATTAGAATGGCCAAATGTTAAATGGCACTAGCCATTTCTGCAAATAGGGCAAAAATAAAATTTCATGCCTGACAATTGTACATTATGTCTTTGTACTAAACATAGGAAGTGTATTTTATCAACTGACTTACCATTCACTAGAAGTACCTAACATGTGTCCTAACTAGATTGTGCACTATAAACATGTTCAGGGACTATCAGTTGGGGCTTCTGTATATATATTGAACGGAAACTGGGATTTGGCCTGTAGGGCAACAGCCATCCTTAGGCATAGAATTCATTATAAGAGTTAAAACACTGATTATATGAAGAATTGATTGTATGAAATATAAAAGAAAGCACTATAGAAGAAAGAAATGTACACAAATGTTCATTTGTTTTTTGAATAATAAATGTGTTGCTGATCATTCATTTTTGGCTAAGAGAAAAATAGATATCCCTATGTGAATTATCTTGCTAGAGAATCCTGTTAACCAAAGTATTTTTCCAGCATTTTGATTTTTGCAATCAGCTAGAAAATCTAATGATACTAATTTTGTTATCAGAAAGTTCCTCAAGTCAAAGTAAAATTAAACATGCAAACTAGGGGCTTTTCTTGTGTCCTTTTCCATTCATCATCTCACCATCATTTGAGGACTGGCTCATTTTTATTACAGTAAGGCTGTAGCCTTTGAAATCATGGTTGAAGCGTTAGCCACCCTACTTTTTCAGTTCAAAACTCATTTGTCTCCTTCATATCAAAATAAATACAAAATCTGGATATCAGGAACTATAGGTTCATGGTGGACAGGTGGCACAGAAATCAAGCTCCAACTTATAGCAAGTCTTTCTAAGCGTGAACAGAAAATACCCTACCTTCCTAAATATCTAACATTAAATGTTAGAAGCTTCAGATTTATTAACTGACAGAGAATCACTTTTAATTATATATGATCAGAAAAAAAATCTATTAGTACTCTTGAGTTATCTTTTTAATATTTCCATAGAGCTCTTTTGTTCTGAAACAATATAGAGAAATGAATTATATAATTAATAAAAAAGGCCTTCATAAATTTGTTACTATGGTTGGAAGGATAGTAACATTTTAATCAAAATCAAAGATTTGCCCAAACAAAAATGGAGTAGTACTGAATGACACAACTTTTATTGAAAGGTTAATAGTATGGAACTGCACAATTACCTATGTTTTGGGTTTGCTTTTCTTAAAAAAAAAAGTGAGAAAAAATGGAACTTCAAAAGGCACAATGATACAGAAAGAATGGATTTTGAGTAAAATATTCTAGTTGGTTTGTCTTAATTTATGAGATTTGAATTTCTACTTATTTGCAGGCCATTTGTGTATGAACTGATGGGAAAGAGATAAACAGATCCCCCAAGGATTTGGATCACTTTTACTGGACTAGTGTAATAATGCATACCATAATCTGCAGTAGTGGATTTTTAAAATGAAAATATGTATGTGCTTACAGAACATATGAGACAAGATGGACATTTTCTTCAGTTTGGAGATAAATGGAGCCAATACTAATTGGCTGCCTAGAGATGATAAGCTCATTTGTTATCCTGTTCTTGCATTGAATCCTACAATAGTAGTATATCCAAAGGTGGTGTTTTTTTTTAAAAAAATACTATTTACATTTTATATTCAAACGTTTTACTGTCTCATCTGCAGCTTGGTGATACAGATCAGAAAAATCTCTCTCTTTAATTGTTCACTACATTATTGGTTCTTACCAGAGTGTGCATGAAACGGTAAGACTAATATTTCAGATTTAATCTAAGCACAAATGTCTCTCTGGGTATGTGGGAGATATATTAATGATTTAAATATAATGTAACTAAAAATATTTTTGGAAGTCAGTTTCAGAAAATAAGTGCATTTCCCTTCATATGTGACACATGCACTGAAATAGTACCAGACATTTTAAGCATTTTGGAATATTAAATAATTTTCAAACAAAAATGTTTTTGCCATTTTATATTTTAACAGCACTGATAGAATTATGCCTGGTAAATTTTTGATGGTATTGTTCCCCTTAATTCCTAATCAGTATTTCTGAAATAATTGATTTTTAGCATTTTGTATCAATTAGTTGTATTGGCTGAAATTTAAACTAATTTTGAAAATTACAAAAAAGTATTGTCAAATAATTGTACATTTCCCAATTGTAATACACTGTTCTTTAAAATATACTGGTGTGTAATTCTTCAGCGTATATAGATTTTTTTGTGGGTTTTTTTAAAAAATGTATTTCTATGTCATATTGGTTCAGCTTTACTGTATTGCATGCATGTTAACAGAGCAGTTCTATGCATGCTTATTCAGAAGGAAATTCTTTATAGTTGAATGGAATTTCCTACTAAATAAGTAAATATACATATGCTTACAATCTTAAGAGTATAGTTTGTATTGGGAATCCAATTTTGTGGCTAGAACAATATCTGGAAATAGACATGGAAACAGTCACCACTGAAATTAGCCCCTTATGGCATCTATTATTAAAAGTTGAGATATTCTCTAATAGAGGAACTGCTGAATATTCAGCAATTCAAACCCCATGTGATATTCAGCAATGTTATTTAGATAAATTTAGACTCTGGATTTACAAAATTGGCCATTAAGATCACAACATCATTTAGGTCAGTCTTGCTGCATTGGGCCCACCTGTTCATCCTGCCAAGTAGAGGCCTGAAATTTGCCCCTCTTGCTATCATTCAGTGCAATTATTTTTACCCACCACTAAAGCAGGCAGCCCATTTTCCATTGTTGCTGTTTCAGAGACTAGCTTGATACTTTCTCACACATGTGCTGTGCCACTTTCATATTGCCCTAGTGCTTTGTGTTAAGGGAAAGAAATGCAGAGTGGTTTCTTTCAAAAGAAGCTCACAGTACTAATTAAGACTAGTCACTGAATCATGTAAAGTTGATAATCTAATCCACTGCAGAAATAGGAGCCCGGCTCTTGCCAAGATACTAGTCTTTACTTACTAGATTTATGTTGTAAATAATAAGGACTCTTTTCTCACAGCATATTTTAAATTTGTTTTATGGTTTATTAGTGTTGATCCTTTTCATTTTATTTTTACATTTTCCTACCAGTAGCAGCTGTTCATGTCTGTGCAACTACTGCAGTGCCAATGGATTGTCTATAACTTAAAATTTATAAGACACTGCTAAGTTTAATTAAAAAAAAATCTTACCAATAACCTTGTGATTCTTGATTGTTTTTAAAAAAACAAATTGATTATTGCGTCTCACGGAGTATGTGTTACAGCCATTCACTGCATGGCTATACAAGTGAATACCAGTTATCAGGGACTCTTGAAAGGAACAGCTTGCAGAAATTGTTAAGATGCCATGCTTCAAGAAGTGAGCTAGGCAACATTACATAATACCTGGAGGTGCTGCTTCTTCAGAATGACAAGCTTGGTAATACTGAATAATCTTAGGTTTAAAGGGTTGTGACAGGCTTGACAGTCATGCATGGTGAACCCATTATATTGAGAGTTGGAAATCTAGTCATTGTTGATCCATATGGATGTTCTAGTATTAATTATAATCTTGATTAGAAGATCAGCTCATGACATGAAATGGCACATATGAAT